TGTTTAACCAATTTTAAAAAGACAAACACAATCAAAAAGCACAATCTAAAAACTGCCAGCTTTAATCGTGAAACAACCGTTATTCATACCGTTCTAAACGAAGCATTCACGAGTAGAAAGCTTCATAAATCGAGTTAGATTTTGCAAGCTTTTGAACTGCACCGTACGTTTAGTCTAGATTCGTTCATTGACTATTCACCCATAGGCCGTATTCAATCGAGGTGAGGTAAGCCTAATCCACGGCCGTGATGAAAGTCAAAGCAAAAGCAAGTTTGTGTACATTGAAAGCCCCTTGGCGTTATAGCTCCGCCCCGACGGGATAGTTTACGGTTGGCTATTCTTTTTAGGCGTTAAAAATGTTATTTGTTTGTTTAAAATATTGTTAAACCTTAACATACAATGATTTTAAACAAGTTTCTAGAAAGATCTATGCTTTATATTTCTATTTTGTTTTGTTATCATTTGAGGCACTTGGATTTTTTTAGACAATATCGTAATCTTGGAAAAAACTGCGTATTCGGGACCCCTATAATCGAAACGCGTGTCAAGTTTTGCGGCCGTTTCATGGTCGATTCAACGACGGCACTCGTTAGGGCACACGGGTGAATGCCGGCTTGCCACTCCTCATTATTGCGTTTATAAAGGCGCCCATAGAGCGAGCTGATTCACTAAGACTCGCTCCGTTACCATGAAAGAGAAAATGGAATTGTGTAGACGGTTTGTTCGCCATAAAGTTCTTTTTATTCTTAAAGCTTCGAGCTCGTGTTGTGGGGTGGTAACTACAGATACTTTGTACAAGGTTCTCTGTTAAGAATTTAATTTTCTTTTCGTTGTTACAGACCATTTCAATTAAGCAACTATGTTTAAGTGTACTCGTTTTGTTTGTCTGCTCATTATTTAAATCTAAAATTCTAATTTAGGTTACGTATTTATGGACATTTTATGATGTATTTTAAAATAAGAATAACTATATCTATAATATAAAAAACTATCCGCTTAATACGATATCAATAAACCAACAACATGATTTAAATAAGTCCAATAACATTTGGAATGCACATATAAACTGTAACATTCGATATTATTTGAGTTCATTCATGGTCAAAGTTTATTGAATACTTGGCTGAACAGATTACAATTTAGAAATTAATAAATCTATTTGCAATAATAGGGTTAGGAGGTGGAGGTTTCTAATCTGGCATTGATTGCTCTAAATCAATAGCAGCCGCGCGTAACTATCAGCAGGTGCGCTGCCGTTATATTAAAATTTGTCGGCCACCTCGGATAAGGGTGCGGACACTTTATCATCGTTTATTCCATTTATATCTGATCCATTATTAAAATAGATCTGCAAATAGCCTACGAGGAATTAAAGTGTCAAAACGTTTATTGGATTATTATTCGAATTTATTCTTATAGTGGCATAAAATATTTTTCTACGAGTATATCTAATTTTGAACTATCTAGCTATATTGATTGTGTCAATACATTTAATTGTGAAGGTTTATTTCAAATGAACAACACAATTTCGTCAACTTGAATAAGTCAGTTTTAGATCGTTCTAGTCTAATGTCTTAAAATCTTAAACCCTTTTAATTCCACGCGATTTCTACGAGTAATCGTCTTCAAATAATACAAAGTTGTCTTCAATAATACAAACAAAGTCTTCAAATAATACAAAGTTGTCTTTAATTCAATCTCTTTGATGTAATCTTTATCTAAAGTATTTTAAAGAATATTATGCAAATCTTATTGAGGATGATAAAACGTAATCTACGAAATTAAAAGTTAAGGGGAGTTTAGAAGTGCAGTTAGATCAACATGAGCCTCGCCTCACGACCATTGAAGGCTCCTCCGGTTGCCGGCCAAGTTTTCTCATTACGGCCGTTAGTGCCCGACGCCATTCAAACTATTACTTGCGATCAAACCATGAAGCACGTACGCACTTTGACGGACGTAGAGTTACTTCACGTGATTCCTTTACAAAGTAAAACACATTAGCGTATGGTCCTTGACGAACTTTCATGCTTATAAAGTAGAAATTATTTTCCATATCATAAATAAATTAAATATCAAATTTTCGACATTACACGCGACATTATTGAAAATATATTAAAAACATCGCTTGCAATAAAAAAAACTCCACAACATTTTATGCGTATTAAAAATTTATTGTTGAGTAATGTTTATTTCATTTTGTTCAGAATGAGAACAGTAGCAAATTTTAATTGAACTACAAATCGTATGCTGTACCCAGACAAAATGAGATCGTAGGCACAAAGATTTAAATGCAGTAGCGGCTCGAAGATAGGAGATAGAGACCGTTTGCCCGACATTGACACTAGTTTTATTGTCCCGAGGACCCTCGTAAAGCTCCCTTTGTGTTAGTAATGTCTTAAGTTGTATTAACACCGTGATAACTTTAGCGGGAACCGTTCGGCCCGCGCCTGATTACTTCGACGGCCGCAATTAAACCGATCTAAGCGGATAGTTTCGATAATTTAAATGGTCTGATGTTGCTTGTCGTTATTAATAATATGGCTATTAGAGACACCCTTTGAAATTAAATTGGCTAAATGCGTTCCGAAACTTTGGAACGGTAAATTATTGTTAAACACCCAAGAGGGAGTTCAAACGCTATATTAAATTGATTGTTGAAGAAGTTAAATAATCATAATTTACTTCATTATGTTTTTATTAACACTTAAAACTTAAATCAAGAAATTATTGCAACATAGACTAAAAAAATTGATTGAATTTAAAAAAAAGAGAGTAGTTAACGTCAATAATACATTTTAGTATGCCTTTTCATATGTATGTAACTTTACGACCCATATACAATTTTATGTAGATCTAAAAGATAAACAAAGACAATTGAATTTAACGGAAGTATTAAAATAATTTGGAGAGAGAGGCCAAGTCGATTTCGGCGACATGAATTTTCCAACAAATTTAGCGGTTTCAATCGATGAAGTCGGTAATGGAAAAGTTCAATAGGCAACAACAAAGGCTGATACAAGTTAACGAAGCTCACGAAAGCGAAATTCACGATAGCAGCGCGCTCTGGCGGACAGGAAATTAAAAGACAAAAGAGTGCCGGCCCGAGCAGTTTAGGCTCGGAAATGGAGGGCGCGCCCCTTTCGCTTATTTTCATTGCAGACGCGAAGCCGCGGCCACCTCTACTTTATGTTAACTTACGCTAATTAATGAGGCTTTACTTATTTATTCTGACACTCCAAGCCTTACCAAATAGCTATTATAACCATACTCGTTAGAGCACAACTATAACTGCCAGATTCTGTAACTATAATCTACTTTTAAGATTTGATCAGAGATAATTAATTTAAAATTTAATTTACTTAACATATCATCATCATCATCACCAGCTCACTATACGTCCCCACCGAGGGGCTCGGAGCCTACCCTAATAAGGGGTGACTAGGCCATAGTCAACCACGCTGGCCAAGTGCGGGTTGGTTGACTTCACACATATCTTTGAATTTCTTCGCCGATATGTGCAGGTTGCATCACGATGATTTCCTTCACCGTAAGAAACGTCGGGTTAATTATGTACATATGAAAATTCGAAAAATCGAAAATCACATTGGTACACGGCGGCGGGATTCGAACCCAAGACCTGTGGATTACAAGTCAAGTGTTCAAACCACTGAGCCACCGACGCTCCAACTTAACATATATGAGGAATATAGATAGCTCTTGAATATTAACATGAGTTTAAAACGTCTTATAAGATTTTGATATAATTTACGTGATCTAGAATACATTTGGAGTATATTAGCATTAATCCAGTCTAATACGGGTGTATCTAATGAGTATCGAGTGTGCGTGTACGTATGGTTTCCGTAATTCAGGCGGGCTCGTGTAATCCATTCGTGTAGGGTGATATCGAATTGCCGGGGGAGGCGCGCCCCGACTTCTCGTGTCTGAGACGGAAACACGAAATACTTCTCACGACATTCAAATATTGTTACGAAACACGTATCCTTCTTGATGTACTTTTACTGAATGTGATTCTATTAAGTAAATAATAAAATCGTTTTAAACTGTTCAACAATATGATAATGTCTTGCTATGTTAGGGACAAAGCAAACGACGTTTTCTAATTCAATTTACATTCGGAATCAAAAACTTTCCGTGACACTGTTTTGCATTATTAATACTTTAGCATAGCGTGATATCCCGGGAGGCGTACTAGAAGCCATAAATTGAATTCCGAACCTTCGCAATTAGTTATTCCCGCGCGTGAAAACTTTCGAGATCATTCGCCTTCGTTAACAGATGTTACGGTGCCATTCATTATACATTCCGTCGAATTGTAAAGCCCAACATTTAATTTAAAGTACCGACAGCGCCTTTGTTAAACGGTTTAGTCCCCCGAGAATCAAAGGATTAGAAAAATGTGAAGTGGCTCCCGTCTGCGAAAATTGGCTTTCTTCAGAGAAATTATAAATTGAAAAATATAATAACTACACTATAGTATATATATAGACTTAGAAAATGTCTTCAATTAGTGTCACAAATTTGTCGTAATCTTAAAACACATTTTATCTATCTATCGAAAAAAAAAACGTAAATTCTTTTTCGCTGTAGCTACCTTAATATCATGCTTATCAGGTTAATTTGAATCAAACAATTCCATTCCCCGCCTCGCACCCTACGAATTACGGAGGGCACATTCGTTATCTGCAGTTTTCGGTAGAAATTATATTAAGATCTTGTCGTGATAATGTTGTATATTTTTGTTTTCTGCTATCGTAGAATAGGGCGTAGCCACAGGGAGCGTCGGTACTTTATTGCAAAAATAAATTAGCAGTAAAACAAACTGAATTCCATCTGCAGCAATAAGATTTTATCTTGCCGTTAATAGTAAACGTCTTGCTAGAAATTTTATGTACCAAATGTGCATGAACACATGTGCATTTAAAACTTTTTTTTAGTTTATTTTAACAAATATTCATTACCACTTTTCTTCTTTTCAGATCCTTGTTGGCGTATACATGAGATGGTATGGGTTCACAAGGCGTAGCAAAATGGCGATGGTGGTTTGTGGTGGCGGCGTGGTGGTGCGGCGCGGCTGCTCGCACGCTGTGCCCAGCACGCTGCTCCTGCGACGATGCCCTGCGAGCCGCCTCCTGTGCAAACGCCGGCCTCGAAATTGTACCCATCCAGCTCAATCCGGAAGCCACTCACATCAACCTAACACAGAATTCAATCAGCAATCTCCTGTACACCTTTCCGTTTTACACGCAATTGACTGTTCTCGATATCTCTCACAACAAAATTCAAGATTTAGGTAGTAAGAATTTTGAAAATAATATCGAAATGACACATCTTAACTTGAGTGATAATTTCTTAAAACGATTGGACGTCGGCACATTCGTTGGATTGAAAAGACTCGTTGATTTAGATTTATCTAACAATCAGATAACCGACATCCACGTACAGAGCTTTAAAGATTTGGCAGTTTTAGAAAGACTCGATTTGTCAAGCAATAAATTAGTGAGTTTCGAAGTTGAAACGTTCGAGCCTTTATCATCCTTAAAAATACTATCATTGAAGAATAATTCTATCCTGGACATACCTTCATCTAATTTTGTATATCTAATTCACCTAGAGTTTTTGGATTTATCTGAGAATTTAATTCAACAAGTTTCGAAACAAGGCATCCCGTACTTAAAAGAACTTAAACATGTTGATCTTAATAACAATATCATTGAGAGTGTTGATCAACTCGGATTTCAAAATCTGCCTTCGCTGCGCCATTTAGATCTCAGCGACAATAATATGACTTCAATTCCCACGTCTGCTCTTTCGAAACTATCAAACTTATCTCATTTATACTTAAGTGGAAACTTTTTTCAAAACGTAACGGCACTGTCTTTCCAAAGTTTATTCCATTTAAGACATTTGCATTTGAGTCGACTTTTCGAACTTGAAAAGATTGATTCTCGAGCTTTCGTCGACAATATCAATCTGCAAAAGATTTGGATGAATGAAAACATTAAAGTGAGAGAAGTACCACCGAGATTGTTCCATGGAAATCCAAAATTAACTCACATTTATATGAAAAACAATGCGTTAGAAACGCTAGAAGCTGCACACTTTCCTATTGATAGACTGCAAGAATTGGAAATATCGGGTAATCCATTCGTATGCAATTGCTCGTTACTTTGGCTGTGGAAATTGGGAAGAGAATGTGAAATGAATATAAAGCGATCTGATAACGCAAGTACCATACTAAAGATAGACTACGAAGAAGTAAAATGTGCTGCACCGGAGCATTTAAAAGACGTCTTACTAGTGCCAATTCCAGAATCGGAATTCGGATGTTCGAATGGTTGGGTCATTGTAGCAGTTGTTGTAATGACTGTGAGTATAATAATTAGTCTTGTAGGCGGTGGATTATATTTCATGGGACCTTTAAAGAAATGTAAAGGTGATAAATCTAAACAGGTGATGACGAGTGTAATGTTAAACAGTGACGTATCAAAATTGGGCAACGGATTAGGTTATTCAACACGAAGTAGAGAGCAAGATAATAAGAGAGAAGTTGATCGATATTTGATGATAGGGTCTTCCGTAACTAATAACTTTCATTCGCTGAATCCTCCTTGGCACAGTGTTGACAAAAATCCTTACTACCAGGAGGATAGTGAGGAACATATTTATCAACAGTTTGCTTATGAAACTATCCCTCACCACCGAACTCCGGAGAAGCCACACATAGTGTACGTTTAACAAAGGTTTTAAACAAAAGACAATTGCAACCATAAATTGGCTTCGTTCTTTGATATTAATCTATAGACGGACGTAATAATGCAATAATGTATATAGTGATACGAATAAATTTGTAATGTGATAGCTTTGTATATAGATTTGTAAATAATTTTTGCAGATAAAGACATTACATTTATGCATAATTATAATTTTAAACTATGTATAAATTTCATCTTGTTGTAGTTGTTAATTGTATTTATAATTTTTATCTTGTAAAATGAAGGTCCATTATTAATTATACGTTTTGTTGTTCGTAGACATTGTACGGCTCTGCGGATGATAGCTTCACTTTAGATCCTAAAGTTTTGCATTGTAAATTGTGTAGGATTTTCATATTGTTTATTTTATAGTTCCTCAAATAGTATGGGTAATCCGATAATGTAAATTTCTGATAAACTTTTAAGTATAATTTAATGTTACAAAATACTCATGTAATTGCATAGTAGTTGAATATCTATATATTTTTAAATGTAACACCAATAACGAAAACATTGTACAAATATGAGCAATATATAGTAACTAAATTGAAGTATGTTAGTTTTATTTGAAGCGTTGTTATAGCGGTTAAAGTTATTTAGCATGAAATCTGATGTCATTAATACATATTGGTACAATCAATATTTACGTGATTAGAACGGTAGACAGTACATACTCGTAGCTAGAATACATAAAAGGTTATACGTTATCCAGTTGCTCTGATGGGAAGGGGTACAAATGAGATGATATATTATTTATCAGCTATTTTTATAAATTGATTTCATTGCGATCGTTTTGTGGTGTTATGTTGAGATAATATGAAATTAATATTTTTATACTTAGTGAATATGTACAATATGACAATTTTGTGATTTTAAAGTTACTGGGCTAAGGTGTCATTGAAATACAAACGAAAAAAACTTAAGCTAACAAAATAACTGAATTATGCAAGTTTTTATTTATGTAATTAAACAAAAACTTTAAACTTATATTATTTTATAAACTTTGCCCAGTTGCTTTCAATATTACTAGCTGAATGAATTTAACCTTGCAGTATGCTATATTCATTATGTATTACATAGATTTCTTAAACTTATGTATACTTCATAGTCAACCGCATTTAAACCTATTAAGTCGATAATACCTACAGACATAAATGTAGCGTAAGAATATTTATACATACTTTAAAAATTTTGTTATGAAACTTATTTAAATATATAATACATTAAAACGAACAACAAATAAACAATTTAAACATTTAAAGTTATTTTATTTATTAAACTAACTGTTCCCATGCGACTTCAACCGCATAAAATTATAAAATTTTATTTTATTGTTTACACGTGTCAAATTATCAATGGAAAATATTAAAGTGACATAACATGACAAACCTTAGCAATCTTACTACCTTGATGTTGGCAGCAACTTATGGTCTCTTTCAACCATCAGGGTTTATATCCAAAATATTTACCCCCTAAGTTTAATGGCGTGAATATATATAGCCTAAAGCGTGGCGTAAGTGCTTTTTATTAAAAAAAGAATTATTCAAAAATATGCTTTAATTACTGAGAACTTAGGCAACAAAGAAGTGTGTGTTTACGCTTTATTATAATAGTATAGATAGATATAGAAAATAATCGCACCTCAAACCTATCTATTTGAGACATAAACCAAGATATGTCTATACGTGGTAAAAATGGTAAAGTTAATAAGATTAATTTCAAACGGATTCATTCCTTAGAGCGGGCGCACACTTTTGACTAAACTATCTTACAATTGTTGTGCGATTGTCGATTGTATCGTAGCCAATTCAACTGTTTTATTGCACAATCGAGTAGTGTGCGCACACCCATATAAGCTCATAAGAATCAATACGAAATTAAACAGTTGTGCTGTGCTCTGAGGATGATCCTATAAAAAAGGGTAGTCTTGCTCGTCACAACAAGTCTATAAACATAATTTTATCTTTAGACAAGCAATGTAATCATACTTAAAATAGCCAGATACAAACTTCACACCCTGGACGTAAATGAATACACGCTAATGATTTCCAATTCGGAGCTGCAACAAGTTGATTACGTTAAATTGATTTGTCCAGCTGCTATCGGGCGAGGGTAGTGGACGTTCAATGGCAGCGTGAATGAAAAATTTAAACCCCCTTTCAACGATTGGCGAGGGAAAATTCAATACATTTTGATCCACGACAAGCGTAACAAAAGGATATACACGTAAATGTATTAATTAAATTAAAAACACACATGACTTTAAGACAAAATGATCCAATGCAAAAATTTTTTTCATAACGTTCCTTGAACAGCATTGTACTGTTGGATTTAAATTAGTAAACATCTAGAATGTATTAGCCATGATATTAAGTATTAAAGCAAACAAAACGTTCGAGTTTCATATAGAAGAATAAAATTAAATTCTGCTTTAAACATGTACAAAAATTTTCCTTTAAAAAACTGCTTCTATCAGGCATCTGCATAGAAAATATAAGATTTATTTATATAACTCTATATAAAGTTACAAAATTTGTTTTAACACAATTATGGTCTAGCACCTGGTTCCTACACTAGGCTCTAGGCCCGCCTTGTGAGAGTCAGGGTTCTTCCGGCTTAGTGATAGTTTTTAGGACATACAGTAAAAAAGATCAGCGGGGTTAGACAGTAAAAAACAAAAAAACGAAACGTTCCATCGTTTCGTCTAAGCGATAGCGTCTCTCGTTTTCCTGAGAAAGCTAGACAGTAACAGACGATAGTCACTTTCGTGCAGACGAAGGTGAATCGTCAAAAAAAACTAATTATTGTCTCTGCTGACGATGACTGTTGTGTCATCTGAATTTGACGAATAAAAAATGTAAAATGTTCACGTCAAAAATACAGTTGAATTTCAAAAGTTAGTGAAGTGTGTTGGAGTTTAAAATTTAATAAAAATGAGTAAAAACGCGAGCAGCGAACAAATCGCCGTGATGTCTCTGCTGCCTCCTCTTCAAGTGCTCACATAAATAGTCGAAAAACGACAGACGAAAGACGAAAGCGACCTTCGTGCGTGTCACTGTCTAAGATTTTAACGCGTGACGTCAGACGTCAGTGTCTCAACCAATCACAATCGAACGATAATCGCTTTCGTTTCGTTCACGTTTTTTACTGTCTAACCCTGCAGTTGTTTGTAAATTCAAATGTTACTATGCGTGTGTGTGAATAATTGTATACCTGAATAATCTTACCAAGGAGCTAGATATGCTTAAGTATTAAGCATATTCCCCTCAGCTTACTCTGCATGTTGTCTATAGGGACAACTTCGTCTATGTAGAACTGAAATTGAGATAAATGATTGTCAGTACCACACTCGCCGTGTTGCCAACGCTGTCCAAAAGTAAAATTTCACGAGTAATTCCCGTATAATGGAGTAAGCGTGTAGGGCATTTATTTAACAATTAGTTTTTGTTTAAAAGGATACATTCATTTGTTCAAATTAACTATGAAAACAGTTTGGTAATTTTCGTGTTTTGATTGGTTGTCATACTTCTTTTAACTCTTATTATTATCTACGAGTATATATATATACTAATATAATAAAGCGTTAACACAAACTACTTCGTGGTGTAGGATTCAGCATTCCTAACTTAGCCCTACACTTACGACACGCTTTAGGCTATAAATAAAAGGGTGCAAATAAATTGAAAAAAAAACTTCATATGGCAAAGGGACCATAAACTACAAGATGCCAACATGAAGGTTATTATGGTAACGGAAATTTTCCATTTGCAATTAAGAATTTAAGACAAATGTAAACAATAAAATAATGTTATTGTAATTTACAGATGAAGCCGCACAGGAACAGCTAGTCCAATCATAAAATACCAAAAACCTAACTTCAAATCCCGTACGGGACATAAAGATGCCAATATAACCCTCTTTAATGGTATATCGAAGAATAATATACTACTAGCCCCTGCCTACGGCTATGGGCGGAAAATCGAGAGTGATAAATGTTTTTTACAGTCGTGACGGCCGATCGTTCGGTTTTAAATCTGCAAACGGATGGACGGACAGTTTTAATGGTCTTTGTAAAGGAACAGACCTGATGCACACATTTTAGAGGCCTTTCCAATTTTTGGATACACGCTTCGGTCTGACACAGGCTTTAATTTATTTGTCCGAAAACATCGGTCAATTATAAAAAAAACTTTTTAACTAAATTTGCTGGATACTTATATATTGACAAACATTCATTGTTTTATTTTACCATGTCCAATAGTAATAATATTTTTTCTTAATCATAAATGACTAATTTAAAGAAAAGTTTATAAAAATAAACTTTATAGTTATTGATACATATTTTTCATTCAACTTGCTGCCATTTGTGGCACAAATTAAAAAAAAAAATACCTAGGGTCCTTATTTAACTCTATCCAAGCGTTAAGTAAGATATCAGAAGCCAACCTTCAGTACGGCAATCAACTGCCTATAAAACTTCGCAATGAAACTACATCACATAAAAAGGCTTTAACGTGAAAAAATAAAGACCTTTTATCCCGTGCCCTGAAAGAGGCTGCGACGGCGTTTCAGCTGGGGTGGCGAGATTTATTTCACGACAGGACTCGTTATAGTACCGAAGGGACAGGAATGCAGCCTGCAGCGAGTGGGGAGAGAAGTTATTTCCCGTTGTGTAACCGCAGATCAGTCGACCGACTCATTTTCTTTGTGATTGTGCGAGGGAATTGGGATTAGTGGCGCTGATGAAAAATATTGTCAACACCACGAAGAATTGTTAAAAACTGTGATTATGATGAAATGATTTCTTTTAATGTTGTAACAGATGTTTCATATTTATTTACATATTTTTAATGTTAATTGTAATTACTCTGAATAATGTAAAGACGTTTATATTTTCTTTTTGTATATTGTCTCTAATTTATTTTAACATTAGTAGTCTACTAACATTCGTCTGAATGGAAGGCAAAAACATAAGTACATTTTTCTTTAGAAGTTAATAGCATTATAATTTAATGTTTTCGTTAATTAGTGTCTTTGTTTGTTACTAAAAGGTCAAAAGCTTGAACGTTTAATCCTATTAAAACATTAATTAATATGTTATTCTCATAATTTAATACGCCATTTGTAATTACTACTTAATAATATAGTAGAAACATTAAGGGTGAGTTGCACCATATCGCCGGTTACCGTTAAAGTTAAAATTATTTGTAACGGTAATATTTGGAATAACCTTAAAATTTACTAAGGGTGAGTTACATTAACTAACTATAAACCTTAACCAGCACATTCACGATAGTTACGTCTACGGATGTTCATGATATTCGCTACACCAGTTTTGCGCTGGTCAAAATGACGTCATATATGACACTAATCATAACCGCCCGATTTTGGGCGGTTATAATTAGCGTTACGGTTAGTGTCAGTTCGGTAGTGTCAACTGTCACAAGCTCTTATCTTCAAAAGTACAAATAATGGAAAAAGTAATGGAAAAAGAAAATCTCTACTATTATCCTATACGTAATCCAGAAGAATAAAGTCTTGCGTGCTCGGGAATAATGGATTTCCAAGATGGAACTCGAAATTTGGCCAATCATTCAGTTTGGACAAATTTCGAGTGTCTAAGGCCATAGCAACAGCGCTTGTCCCTTTTCTCTTATTTAAAAAAAATGTCCTCCATAAAAGGACAATTTATAATATGCATTGAGAGGACAATTTATAATATGGAAAATAAATAAGATGCATTTATATTTGTATAATTTTATTGTTTCATTTTTGCTACATATTTGAGTAGTAAAGTAAATACAGTTTCAATAATGGCCCAAACTAGTTTATTTTCACAAGAGTTTGCCATTTTCTCCATCTCCGTGGGCAAAAAGTTTATGTCACTATAAAATACCATGCGTATGATACATAAATAT